TCTGTACATATTAATTACCCAATTTGCATAATTAACCAATTTTAAGCTTTCACACTGATATCTAAAGTACTAATTTCCATTTTATTGAAACTTAGTACAAAGGACAATGTACAAACCTAATTAGTTTGGGGTAAAACTCTGTTCATATTATTTCCCTAATTAGCATAATAATTCATGATTTTTTGGTTCTAATCACATTTCAATTAAACTTGGTACATAGAGTTTTTGTTACATTGCGCAGACCTCATTAGTTTTACAATCAAATCTGTTCATGTTAATTTTCTGATTTGCATAATTAGTTTTCAGCTAAGTAATTTCAAATTATATTTAATGTGTCTCCAATACTCTCAGCACATGGGAGTTCTTTCTAAGCTTTCTTTGATTTAGTCCCTGTCGTATGCAGTCCTTAAACAGGGACAAACTTCCTTCACTCAGTCCATCCATATATGCATTCGTTTGTCTAAAATCATTTCTCAATCATGTCTTCAAACATGGTATGAACATCACACAATGTGTTACTGGTGCATGTCAGTTTGTTTTGTAATGGTAATATTGCTGGATAACAATAAGTTATGTTAAAAAAAATGGGGTAATAATGCTGGATAATAATCATAATTTGTCTTCCCTCAGGATGATCCTAATTTGTTTGATTACAATGTGGATCAGAAAGTCAACGATTTCCTTAAGTTTGTTCGTGGACAGGTAAACAACATCTTAATAATTTCTGTTGTAGTATATTTATATGTAAAATAATTAACACATGTACAGACTACATGCATTGTTAAGTAATAAATTATCTTAAATTTACTTAAAGTTCTAATAGATATATATATATTATAGGGTTTTGATTTATTTAGAGTTTACAACACTTCTCCACGTTCTTTACAGGCCAAGTCATTCAGGACTAATCATACCATATTAACAATGGGATCTGACTTCCAGTATGAAAATGCTAACTTGTGGTACAAAAATCTGGACAAATTAATTAAATATGTAAACGCTAAGGTAAGAATTGATAGACAACTCAGGTAATTATGTAAAGCAATATTATTTTAACTGTCGGTTTATCTTTTCTTTTCTTATTTTTGAAAGCAGATAAAAATAGATTTTCATGCAGCCATTTACATTTGCTATTGTATTTTTACTAAACATATTGACTATAAACCATTGCACATTGTTTTTATGAAATGTTATTAAAATTATCTTCAAAAATTTTTGTTGATAACCAAATTAGTGTAATGAACCATCAGCTAATAAAAAAAATTAGGACGAATATGAAATAAAATTGCTTAGATTATTCATTGCCATCAAGACTTAACTAAAATTGCAATTCATATGTCTAATCAATGAAATCCAACTCCAACATTGTATTGAACTGTGCAGAGCTTCTGTGTGATATGTAGTTTTGATAAAACAAGCAAGTGTACATAAAAGAAGAAGTATATGTTAATAGTTTTAACAACAAATAGTTGGGTGATCTAGATTTCTTTTGGTATTTCTCTGCATGATATTTATAAGGGTTGAGCTAGATTGTTTCCACCACAGTTCCTCCACACCCGTTTAAGAAACACTCTGAGTTCTATTGTCACAATGCGTGTTTCGCGTTCGTAAAATTAACTTACCGGTAATCCCCACACTGTCTACATTAACATAAATTAGCATATAGTATGACATCATTAGCATATAGTATGACATCATTTTCACCAAGAATACCTCACAATTCATTTCTGCGCAGACGTACACAACTTTATTTTCACGTTTCACTTCTGTGAAAGTTTCAACTTTCTGACTTCTGGGCATTTTATTTTACCGAAATGCGGGGAAAACACGAAGATTTCGTCGACAGTGATATTGATTGGGATGACATAATGGAAGAAGGACCCCAGTACTTAGATGCAGGATATATGCATCGTCACCACCGTCGTCGTGTATGGTTTCAAGTTGGCACCTTACCACAAACAAGACTGAATTTTAACTGGAAAAAAATGAATGAAACAATAAGAGAACAGCAATGGAAATAATATTTGCCATATTTTTAGGATATCTAACCTCCAAATTGTACTAACTATATGATAGTTTAAGCCGAAATGTGCATATACGAAGGTCTATGCAATCGGATACTCTCAGCATAACAGCGACAATAGTAGGTTTCTCCATCTTGAAAACAAAAATTCTGCCGAGCACATGTACCAAGTAACGTGACATCCTGTTATTTAATACGATTAGAATGGGTCATATGACAACATAAAGATTTGGTTATCTAAAAGCTACAATTAATTCCATCTTTTAAGTTTTGGTAGTTCCTATTTTTCATGGAATAATATTTTCTGTTATCGACACCAAACAGCCATCCTTGATTCACACACAACACTAACAGCAAAATGACTGAAATGAACATCTTACCGGCACTTATGCACAAAGTAAAAAATATTGTCCGAAAATTAAAGTATCAAATCACAAATTGATTATAACGACTGTGATTGTTTTGGGGGTGGTAACGTGATTCACCAGTGTTGAAACTTTCGTTGTATTATTGACATAATGCATACAGTAATAATGAATGAACATGGCAGCTACAGTTTGAAATCAAAATCGCTTTGTTTCCGTTATTTATAATGAATATGGATTTTAAACTACTGTGCCTTTTCTTGAAACCGATATGATCACATAAAGATTTGTAACTTTAAAATAAAATTTACCGTCTTTGCTCAAAAACACGCAATATTTGTAGACATACACTGAACGGATGTGCCTCGAACGAGCTCCAAGTTGATGCTCTGATGTCACCGCTCTCTCCCCACAAGCGAAACATGCACTGTACACGGGACTCGGGCGATTCACACCTTAGAGCAATAGCGTTTCCTAACTGGGTGTGGAGGAACTGTGTTTCTACATACTGTAAAATACTTTATTTTCGCTATTTTTCTTGAAGGAATGATTCAGTGAAAATAAAATCTAGCGAATATACCTTTTTTCCTATATTTTACATTCAACTCACCAAAAATGAGTGAAAATAAATTCCATACCAAACACTCAAACAGTCTATTCAGCTAAAATTAATTCCAGCTAAAATAATTAAAAGTATTTTACAGTTATACATTACATTTTAGCAGTATAATTGTTGTGTGTTCCATATACTACTATATAGTACTGTATAAACAGCAACAAATCCATGAAACTCATTGTATGTTCTGTATTTCACTCAAATTCTGATAATTGCTTTCAGGAGAATGAAACCAAAGTGCATGTGTTGTATTCTACACCATCATGCTATACCTACAATGTAAATAAAGCTGGTATTAAGTGGTCTACTAAAAGTGATGACTTCTTTCCCTATGCTAACAGTCCCCATAGTTTTTGGAGTGGTTATTTCACAAGCAGACCTGCATTGAAAAGATATGTCAGACAATCCAATAACTGGTTGCAGGTAAGTCAATGTCATATAAACTGTATTTGTTCTAATAGTAGTGTCGTATACCGTATTTGTTCTAATAGTAGTGTCATATAGCGTATTTGTTCTAATAGTAGTGTCATATACTGTATTTGTTCTAATAGTAGTGTCATATACCGTATTTGTTCTAATAGTAGTGTCATATACCGTATTTGTTCTAATAGTAGTGTCATATACCGTATTTGTTCTAATAGTAGTGTCATATACTGTATTTGTTCTAATAATAGTGTCATATATCGTATTTGTTCTAATAATAGTGTCATACTACGTATTTGTTCTAATAAGTGTCATACTACGTATTTGTTCTAATAGTAGTGTCATATACCGTATTTGTTCTAATACAGTACTCATTCCGCCCAACCTCCCGCTTTTATCGCTTTTTTTTCCGACTGCTTATCGCTTAATTTCCGACCGCTCGCTGCTTTCCGACCGGAAACCGACCGCTTTTTTTCCGCTCGCTCGCGTTTGCTTTTGTTCGCTCGCTCGCTCCTGCTATGGCTGGCTTCAGAAACACCGTCCGCTTGCCAACGGAACGCTGGAATAACAATGACGATTCAAAACACAACGCCTATTGCTTCTCTGTTTTGGAACAAAGACGCCTTCAAATCACTTGACACATTGTAACGTTTGCTAAGCAAGTCGAACTGTGACCTGTATTTACCTATTTACGTCCTTGTGTGTGTAGTTCAAGCAGCTATATAACTGGTCAATCGCGATATGTATTGAGTACTAGTATTTGTGTGTTGTGTGTTGTGTTTGTGTTTCTGTGTGTGATTTTGACTAAATTTATTCCGAACGGCGCTCAAAATAATTTGACACTTTGTTATTTGCGAACGCAACTCACACTATGACCCTTACTCAATTTGCACAAGTAATACGAATGCTGTAGTTCAGAAAATCTTTTGGTTAACTT